GCTGGATAATCTTTTTAACTATTCAGATCACCTCAAAGATTGGAGACTGAGGAATCCAGAGCCTTGCCAGTAACAAACCAGCAGAGTAGAAACGAGAGCAGAGAATTGTTTGTCTGTCTTTGTTTTCACCCAGCATTTGGTTTTGTTTGAAGGACATTGTAAAGGAATTATTTTGACCAGTTTAAGGTCTGAGTTAATACCCCCCCCCCCCCTCCCCCATTAGAGGCAAAGTAGAAGCCTGGGTTTCTGGACCCAAAACTGCTTTTGACCTGCTTATGGTCTGAGCTTCTATTCAAATGACTGCAATGACTGGAGGTATTAGAAAAAGGGATCCAGTATAAAATTTCCTCTCTAAGATCAGAATTCACTCTCCAGACTCCATAGAGGGAATCTGATCATTCTAACAGCTCTTGGAAAGGTGATGTATTCTGTTGCTTTTAGGACAATATTTCGCTGTGTCTCAGTGTTGCTCTGTGTCTCTCTGTAAGTGGTTAAACATTTATATAGCTCAGTCTTTCTTAAACGTGTACCCTTAGATGTATTGGGCTTGGCTGGGGGAATTAAGGGAGATGAAGCTCAACCCAAAGTTGGGAAAAATCAGTTTAGTTAATCTACTTTTCTGTGTAACTGAGTTTTAATTACATGGCTTCTCAATATTTTAATTACTGCCTGATCTTGTAGCCTACTTGTCCAACTTTGGATGGAAAGCCATAACCAGCCTTCACATCTTGGCAAACCTAGAGAGGATTAATTTCCACCCCTTCCTTCTAGGCAATTATGAAATATGAAAAATAGGCAGGTATTTATATGAGCCATACACCTATGTTAGGAAATACAGACCTTATTTGATATAGAGCAGAAACCACACCAACTGTTTTTAATTAAAGACTTCTATAGCATTTGAAATGAACAGCTACCATATCTGACTGCAAAATACAATGGTTATCTGGACTTTTGTGGCCCAGATATGGCAGCCTGAAAGCCTAGGGGACAAACCCATGTACCTCAGCAGGCATCCTTCTCTAGTTTTGGGGTGGGATGTCTGTCTGTGTTTTTCCAGATATTGTTTGATTACAGATCCTGGTGTCTCTGGAATCAATCAATCAAAGAGCTATAGGTTCTTCAGTCCTGTGCTAGTTCATGCCTTGAGCTTTAAACAGTGCTGGAACAATGTACAGGATGGGCAATTTGAGCCTTTACAATGCAAAGTCTGTCTCAAGAATGTCTGAAGGCATTTTAATTTTCTTCCATGGACTTCTGTGGAAATGCATACTCCCATAACTGGTGGACAAGTGGGTCATATTTTCAGCCATGCCACTGCTATGTCCCCTAGCTAAATGGGCAAATTAGAAGTATGATATTGCTGGTGTAATTGCTATATACTGTATATATTTTGCTACAGTGACTTTGTGGCTTGAAATGTATTGTTTGGGTGTTCTAGGACAGCCATTGTCATCCTTTTCTGTTCGTCAAATGCAACAAAGCAAGATCTATGATCTCAGACTGGGAGCATATCAAAGATTTTTGCCTACTGCGTACTGAATGGAGAGTGCCATGGTTCAGTTAAGGTTCATTCTGTCTCTAGTAAATGAGGAGAAAGTGCTGAATATCATCCAGGTGGGCTAAAATTGCTTTGTTTCACAGAACTGTACAAAACACTGCAGGAAGTGAAGTTTGGGTGATGAAAGCACAACAGTAGAGATAGTAGGTTAGTATGCCTGCAAGAATGACAGGTATCTATAGATTCTCCTTATATGGACCTTACGTAAATTCTATTCTACTGCTATAATCTATAGCCTGTAGTAAAACTACTTCTTCTTGAGCAGAAAAATCTGGATGCATCTATTTTCTTGGCAGTTAATAAAATGGAAATGTGATGGTTTTACATGAATGCTGTTTGAAAGCCAAGGAAATTATATCCTTACTTTCATTTCTAAGCTATTCCAGTCAGTGTCTTCCTGGGAGCAATGCTTGTTTTCTAGAAAAGGAAATGTTGAGACTCAATTCTGTTGAATAATGTCACCCTCCAGTCTGAAATCTCTTTCTTTTCATTTTAGGTGTGAAGGGACTCTCACTTCCCAAGAAATTCTCTTTGCAGCTGTCCGTCTACTTTAAATAATGTCCAGCACAAGTATTGGCAGTGAAAATGGATCCTGGGACTGAGCCTTGTACAAATTAAGTTTGGTCTGAAACTGTCTATGAAAAAATGAATGCAGCAGAGATAGAAGTAGAGGGGAGCCATTAAAAACACAGTCATGGTTAAGGGGAGAAAGTATGCAGGCATAACAGAAGGAAAGGGAATTATAAATGCCTTATGGGGTTTTTTTCTAGATATACAGAGACAGGACATTTCAATACTCTACATGAGTGTTTCTCAGTTTTGGCTGCTTTAAGCTGTGTGGACTTCAACTCCCAGAATTCCCCAGCCCATAGGTGCGGTGGGTTGTGGCTAGCTGGGGAATTCTGGGAGTTGAAGTCCACACAGCTTAAAGTGGCCAAGGTTGAGAAACATTGGTCTACATGTCCATTCAGAAGGAAATAAAGATGTGGCCAAGTCTCAAAAGGGATTTGCAAATAAAGAATTTATATTTGTTTCTCATAGACTCATAGACATAATAGGGATCATTTAGGTTATCAGGTCCAACCTCTGCTTACTGCAGATATTCAAATGAAAGCATTGCCAACAAAGATCTATCCAGCCTCTGCTTGAAGATACACAGCAGCGGGGATTACAACATCTCCCTAGGCAATTATTCCCATTGTTCAACTCTTCGGATATTTCCCCTATTTAATCAGAATCTGGTTTTTGTTACTTAAGAGCTTTCTGGGACAGTACTGTGCTTGAAATTATGAGATTTTTGGTGAGGCACTATGCAAAGTCTTAAAGAGTGCTGTCACATTCCCCCCAACCATATTTTCTCAAGACTAAACCTACCTGGGTTCCTTACTTTGTTCATAGGACTTAGTTTCCAGTCCCCTGATAATTCTTGTTGGCATTTGTTTCTGTTTTTTAAAATCTTGATTGGATTTAGACACAGTATTTAAAAGGGAGTCTGAATAATGCAGAATGGAGTGGAGCTACCTCCCATGAATTGGAAAGAATATATTATTGATGTAACCTAAAATTGTGTTGGCTATTTTTGCAGGCGTATTATATTATTGACACCGATTTAGACTGTGATATTTACAATTCCAGAATTAGTTTGACATACACTATTATTATGCTATTTACTATATATGAAATACAATTTGTTTGCATATTTTTTGTATCTCATTTTTCCAAATACATGTTCGTATTTAATTTTTCCTGTGTTAGTTTTCTTAGCACACTCATTTGTGTATGTGTGTTTAAATTGGGGACTGCAGCACAGAAGTCTGAAAAGTGTGGATTTCAGTATACACACCTTGCTTTGTTTATAGGTTTCAGAAATGTTAAATGGCCAAGCTCATATAAAAGTGAAAATCAAATGTATCTGCCATCTTTAATAAAAAGCATGTTGCACAGCTTTCTTTAAAATAATAATTCAGAATAATTTTTGCTTTAATTTACATCTCTAACTTGCTTCTTATTTTCCCATGGCTGGAAAAAAAAGATTGCTGTGTTACAGTATATGTATAACTGATAATATTCTTTTGAGTTTCAATGTTGCCTAAAACGTTTTAATAGGCTGAGTTTCCCAAGGAGAATTCTTAATCTCAGTATTGAAAAAGCCTCTTGAACACGTTCCATGGTGACATTTTGTACTTACTGTGGCTCTTAGAATGCATCTTTCACAAACACACGCTGTCTAATATCTGCTGCCACTGAGTGTTTGAATAGTTAATTTGCAGAGTGGACTGTGTTGGTTCAGAGAAGAACCGCAGTGGTAGAGGACATGTTCATCCTGCAGAAGATCCCATATTCAATCCACAATGTCCACAAAGGGATCAGGTAGCATATAACACAAAAGAACCCTGCTTGAAAGTCTGGCAACTGCTACCAATCCATAGAGAGAACATTGGGCTGGATGGAAATGTCCCTGTGGATATCGGTTTCATACTGGCTTAATAATCAGAGCACATATTCAGCAGAGACTGCATCCAGACTTTCTTTTCTGCAATCTAAAAGCCCTTTAATCCAACAGAAGAAGCCCACCAGCAAATTAGAAGAGGGGATTTTTGAAAAAAATAATTTTCTTTCCCTTACCGTCACCTAACCCACCTGAAAGCAGAGGACATTCCCTCCTTTGGCAGAGGAAGTGATGGTCTCAGGGCTCCAGAGGGATTCAAAGATCAAAGCATAAATTCCATCCTTCTGTTGGTTAAAAACGGCCCTTCAGGGATGCTATCGCTGGCAGAAGCAATGCCTGGATCCAACCTTTTGGAATGATGATCTGAATTCTAGCACCCTTTACATTTAAATACAGGTAGTATTTGGAACCAGGATTGCCATCGCTAAGTGATGCAGTCACAAAGTGTGACATCATGCGACCGCATCACTTCACAATGGCAATCCCAGCATTCCCAGTTGCCATTGTAACCCCAGAATGTGTAGGTTGTTAAGCAGGAAGAGGCGGGAGTCCCAGGTTAGGAGTGTGGGGTGTGTATGTGCAGGTGCCGTGGGGGGGAAGATTGCAAATGATGATCACTTGATGTGGCTCGCGATATTGTAATTGTGAGCAGGGCACCTGAGCCCCTGGATTGCGATCACGTGACTGCAAGGATGCTGTGATGGCCTGAACTTCAAGGACCAGTCATAAGTCCATTTTTTCCAGCGCTGCCGTAACTTAGAACAGTTGCTGAACAAATGGACATAAGCCAAGGACTACCTGTAAGCTGGTACACAGATACTCTTATTTAAGGCTCAAATGTCAACGTTGAACAGTGCTAACATATTTCAGGAACGGTTGGCCTGAGGCCTGGAGATATGTATTTTCAGGGAGTTTTGGCAGTCCTTTCTATGATCTGATGCTGTACTATTAAACTAAAGTACATGCGTATTTTTGTTTTCATAGTAAAGATGTCTTTATTCCAAAATAATAATGTGTTAGCCAGACAACTACATACAAAACATCTACACAAGACTTTGGTAGGAAATATATCCATAACAGTTTTCTCAAAAATTCCATTGCGAACCCAAAACAACAAGAAAACCTAAAATCAAAGAGGGTCTTTTCTGAATTTGTTTTTTTTAAAAAAACCAAGTTGCTTTTATTAAAACCTATTGTACATATAAGCCCCCCAGCATTTCTGTTCATTGCTTGTAAAGTTTCTACAGATTATTTTTTTAAAAAAAACAACGAAGAAGAGCAAGAAAATATACCAATGTTAATAAATGGTCAGTGAGGTGTATAAAATTCTTAGAGCGATACTTGTGGTTTTGGTTCTAGAGTGTGCAATAGACATGAATTATTGTAGAAAAACTTCCAGACATTTTAGTTGGTTGATGTGGAGCAAACATTATACTGCAAGGTTTGTAGCAATTCGGAAATAATCATATGCATTCCATATCATATTGGGTTTGTTTCTTTACGGAGAAAGCAATCTTAAGGACTTCAATATAGTTCAAATTAGATATAATTAAATTCTACTAAATTCAGTGATACAAGGTAATCATAATTAAAGTACATAATTAAGAGAAGGGAATAACTTTAATTGGATTAGAGCTCTTCTGTTTTTTCCTTCATTTTCTTTTGATACTTTTCATGTATTATTCTGTGAAAAGTCACAAGCTTAAATACACCCACCCATTTGAAACAAACTAGAATATTTTCTTTTTTTTCAGTATGAACTGGGACAACTACCGATATAAGATGGAAATTATATTCATCTGCAAGCTTTGTCATACTTTCTGATAGCAATCCTTTGAAAAGTCAGCCAACCATTCATAATACTATTAGATGTTAAAGAAATTAAAGGCAACTGTACTGTGCAACCATTCTGTCAGTTCAATATCGCCCCCAGTGAAATACTAATTTTGAATTCCTCTGAAATCAGGCACAACGTTCTTACTTAGTTCAGTGGAGCCAACACTCTTCCGAAGACAGCCACCAATATAATACATCACAGCATAAAAGGAATTGTCTTTTTTTGCACTTAAATTCATCTGGAGTGTACATATTTCATGCACATTTTGACTGAATGGAGGGATAATTTATCATCATAAAACAATGGAACCGTGAATATCTGAAAACCAGGGATCCAAGCACTGATAGCAACCTACTCTCATATATTCACTTGTAAAAGTGTTCACTGTTTCAAGATGTTTCTGTTCTATCCTTGCCAACATCCTGGATCTACAGAACTCCTATATTCACTCTGTGCCTTGGACCTCCAGTGTTTTTGCATGAGTTGCACTGAAAATGACTGGCTGTTCAGAAAGAAAAAGAATGATAATTATAACCTGATTTTGGTGAGGATACATTCTTTAGCAAGCTAGTTTAGCTAAATCTAAATCGAGATCTAAATCCTAATCTAGATTTAGATGGAGAAACGTCATGAAAAGGAAGATTGTGTGGTCATGTGGAAGTGATAGATGAAAGCATTTGTACTTGCACATAAATCTTTGGGGAAAAGAGCATTGCTAATCTTTGGAAACTAAAGACCCTTCCCCCAATGCTGCCCTTGTGTCCCTAAGATGCTTCGGGTTTCTGCTATCTAGGAAGGCCAAGCTAGTTAATTCTGCAAATGAATTGGCCTGACTCCTGCTTGAGACGAGCAGACTTCATGCTTTTAAGTCAAATTTCTCTGCTTTGGAATCTAGTTTGTACTGCTATTTAGTGTTTATGAATTCAAGCCATCTTGTTTTTCTTCTGTGAGATAAGTCACACAGTTTAGACTGCAGAAAGACAATCTGATGTTTTAGATGACAGTCTTTTCAACCATCTATGCTGACTGGGGATTATGGAAGCTGAAATCTAAAAGTTCAAGATATATGCCTGTAATAATATTTTATCATACAAACATAGCAGCTTTCATCTTCATTCCTAAGGTGTCCCTAAGGAACCTGTCAGTGGTACTGGCATTTATCTAATCCTTCAATGTCATGACATTTCTCAAATAGCTGTGCTTTTTCCTTTGCTCTCTGTGAGTAGGGGTGTGTAACACCATGTTCCCACAAAGCAGCTATTTTCTGCATGTGCTTTGTTCACTATGACCACTGAGGTACAGAGCAGAAAAATAAAGCAAAATGATGACAGATGCCGTGACATTTATGTAAGGAGAACAGAAGCAAAATTAAGTTGTTGTGTCACAAAGAAGCAAAAGCAAGTTCTGAAGCAAACAGAACAAAACTCTCTTTAGCTGTTCCTCGACTCAGTGGATAGAATAAGGTCGGCTGTTCTAGAGCTGGGTGGACTCACATCTTTTTGAGTATTTATATTGTTCATTTACATTGGTCAAGTCCACCGTTTCCTCTCAAGTTTCTGAAACGTATTTGCCTAGCTCTGTTGCACGCAAGGAGAACCTCTTAAGAGAGGCTATTTACCTGTACCTTATCACCTAGCATATGACTTTGTGAGAGAGCATGGAAGAGGGACCATACAGCCCACTGGCTAATTGACACATGGCTTACAGATGGAAAATGTGCTCCTCCCTGCTGTTCATGTACGGGCAGCTTATGTTTGCTTTCCTTTCTTAATGGAAAGAATCACAAGGCGCTTTATTTAATAGGGGTCCAAGCATTTGCATGAAGAAAAAAAAAGGAAGATTGTCAGAGGATTGCTATAAATACCATTTTTACATTGCTGATGGTTAAAGATCAATATGCACCTGTAGTATTATTCCTTGGCACAGCTGTAGAAACACAGAGGCACTGCTTTGAATATTTTGAAAGTGGATCCAAATATTTAAGTTTGCAATATCATTTTTGCATGCATCCCAAGTATTTACAGGGACTATTTCTATGATTATGGTTTGTCCACACAGATATGTTTATAATTTCAATGTTATAAGATTTCACAACGACTTCACTAGTTTTATGCGTTAAGGGCTAGCTGGAGCATTAAGGAGCTACTCTCAGCAGATATTTGTAAGGAAGTATTTATAAAATAGATCTCTTGCACCAGCAAGACTAATTAAGCAAACCACACTGCAAAAATGAAGACTAATATACACAATTTATATATTTTCTCTTTTAAAAAAAAAAATCAAACCAAGGTTGATTTTTACATTTAGCTCAGGAGTGCATTATCCAAAAGACTTCGGTTTGCTAACAGGGTTGGACATTGCAGGCTCTTAATTCCTTCTTGTCTTTGCAGCTAGTGAATTGAGTGCTTTTGAAACGCTTCTTGACGGTCATGAACCTCTCCTGGATTCCACCCCCACAGAGTTTGGTACATTCTGACCAAGCAGTCCATGGCTTCATCATACAACCAAAAATAAAAAAAACAAACAAACAACACAAGAACCAGCTCAGGGCTTGAGTCTCGTGCCAGGGAGGGAGGGAGGG